AGATTTTTGTAGATCGTACTTCTACGAGGATCTTGCCGGCGGAGGTTAGGAAGAAATTGTGTTCAATTTGTCGGAAATCAAACGCCCGGAAACTTTGCGTTCGTTGAAACGTGCCAATTCAAGTTCGATAGGGCATTAATTACGAATTACGATTCGGTTGAAATTAAATTACGATGTATGTAATTAAATTAAGATTGTGAATTGAAAAAGTTATAAATTAATCGGTGATGAGAGAGGAAAGTACGCGGAGGAGACAAGAAATGAGTATACCAAAAAGAAGAACATGAAAATGTATCTCGCTTCTTCAATGTTCTGGTTCTGTAATTTCAGGAACTGTATTTCAATTACGTGGTAATTTCGATTACATTGTATCTTCAATTGCGTCGTGTTTCAATTACGTGGTAATTTCAATTACATTGTATCTTCAATTGCGTTGCATTTCAATTACATTGTATTCCAATTACATTCCATTCCAATTGCATTGTATTCCAATCGCATTGTATTTGACTTGCACTCGTAATTGAAATAATTAGCAATTGAATGTATTGGAAGATCTGAATCACGTAATCGAATCACAGCCTAGTCGAGTTACTGCGTAATTGAAATACAATGTAATTAAACTGCGACATTGAATTAGAACGTAATTGAGTTAGCGCAACGCTGCGTCGCTGCGAAGCTCGAGAACGAATACAGCCGTTTCCGGCGCGATATACAGTAAATTCTCCCTAATTGGCTCTCAGATTGTATACAAAAATAAATAATTTGAAAAGAAAAGATACGATTATTATACGATTATAATACGATTATTATACGATCATTATAATACGATTATTACAGTTACCGATTGTCAACAACTATAAAAACAAACCGCAAGGCTCGAACAATCGTATCTCCTCTTCCTAAATTGTCCATTTCCGTGCACAATACGTGCGCGAATTACGGAGAATTTACTATAATGCCCAGAGATCGGTTCGTGGAGAGGTCGCAGCGTGGAAAGGCGAACGCGCAGGGCCCCGAGGCGACCCAGTTGCTCGCAAGCTCTTACCGGGGAGTCTTCTGGTCCCATCGCTAGGCACCGAGGCCCGTCGCGGGACCGGTTCTCTCCCTCCCCGTGGCCGTTCGGCCGTTTTTCACCTTTTTGTTCGTCCTCCGGCGTGTTGCTTTCTCTAGGTGGGCTTCTAATAGGTACCAAGGCCCGCCAAAGCCTCGCCGCTCCGTAGCCTGTTGCACCACCCTGAGCTCTTTGTCTCCTTCGTCTCTGTCCCCCTCGTCGGCCACCTCCCCCACCTTCCCGGCGTACCTTCTCCGCCCTAACTGTCCCGATCTCGATTTCTAAGTCTCTCCGAGGCACGGCGCGACGCTCCGCGTGGCTTCCTTTTGTTCTACTCCCGGGATTATTATTCGAGGAACCCGCGGCTCCGGGATCCCGCGAACTCATCCATCGGCTCGATGATCCCGGCGAAGGATCGTTTATCCCCGGATCAAAACGCCGATCTACAGGGTGTCCCAAAAATGTCAAAAATGTCAAAAATGTCAAAAGTGTCAAAAATGTCCCACAATCTCGGGTTCCTCGGATAATTTGAAGCAGCTACTTCCTTTACAAAAATTTTCTCCAAGGCACCGTTAACGAGTTATTAACGAAAAACAGTGACCAATAAGAATCGAGTACGGTTGACGCGAGGCGGCTCAGCCAACCAGCGCGCGAAACCCAGTTCCGCTCTTTGGCTCGGTCGCCTCGCGCCAGCCGAGCTCGCCTCTCATTGGTCACTGTTTTTCGTTAATAACTCGTTAACGGTGCCTCGAAGAACGTTTTTGTAAAGGAAAAAGTTGCTTCAAATGACCTGAGGAACTCGCCACTTTCAGATTAATCGCCGCTTTGAAGGAATCGCCGATTGTCAACAATTATACAAACGAGACGCAAGGCGCAAATAATCGTATCTCTTCTTCCGAAATTGTCCATTTCTGTGCGCGTCTGACCGCGAATTAGGCAGAAATTACTGGTTTAGGGAGAATTTACTGTGCATCGATCATTTTTGTGAAAAATCATTGCATCAGCCGAGAGTTAAATCGTTTGTTCCACTGTTAACCCTTTGCACTCGAGCGGTGAATCTGAGGCACCACTAAAATTGTTATACCACGTTCCAAGATAATTTTTATATTACCATAATTTAGATTTATAAAATTGTTAAAACTGTAACTATTGTACGAGTCACATGAAAATCAATTGTATGTGCATAAAATGCGCTTTGCAATGTAAAATGGAAATACCATGAATCAAGAAAATTATTTTAGTTTCACAGTTAAAATGGCTTCGAGTGCAAAGGGTTAAAACGATCAAAGAAAGGAATCAAATTACGCTCGGCTCTTTCATCTCGCAATCGATGTGTAGAAAATTTGTATTCTCCATAAAGATCGGCAGTCTAATCGTGACGCGGATCTACGAAGATACGTGTTTACGTAAACATCGACCGTCGTTTACGCGACTTATGACAGATATTACCCGACGGCTTTCACTTAATTGTCGCGGTAAACGATTGTCTCCCGTTGTCGAAGCAAACCCGTTCCCGTCTGAAATCCTTCAGAAACGATCGATCAAAATAGAAGCTTGTGCAAGGATCTACGCAACCTGATCGGTCGCTTCATTTGCGCGAGATATTATCCGAGAGAGAGCGCGCGCGCGCGCGGCTCCTCTCCGCTTCGCGCTATTTCCCCGAAGCAATTACGGCGTCCATTAAATCGTATTCAATTCTTCGAGCTCGTGACAGTCGGTTCGCAGATATATAAAACCGTAACGAATGGCATAAATCGAAATTCGGTATCGACGGATCGGCGGATCGCTGCACAGTAATGTCTCCCTTGCTGACGCTCAGATTGTCCACTAAAATGGACAATTTCGGAAGAGGAGATACGATTATTCAAGCCTTGCGGCTCGTGTTTTTATAATTGTGGACAATTTACAACTATAAAAATAAACCGCAAGGCTCGAAAAATCGTATCTCCTCTTCCCAAATTGTCCATTTTTGTGCGCAATCCGGGCGTCAATTAGAGAGACATTACTGTACATGGAAGGCGCGCGCGCGCTCGTGTTTACGCGACTTTAATTTCCGAGCGAATCAATTCCGATAAGTCGGATCCCGCCTAATCGACCAACGAACGCCGGGCTCTCTCACTCAGGCGAGTTTTTAAGTGCTGTTAACGTCGAGGTAATTGGCTCTCGGAGCGAACTAATTTGTATTCCGAATAAGAGCCGGGCTAATTGATATTCTCCAGCTTATACTTCAAAGAGGGGCACACGCCCGTCGACTAGCTTGTAATAATGTAACATACCGCGGTCCCGTTCCCGAACTCAAAGGATCGTGTTTACCCCGCGAGACGATCCCCGGCATCCGTTCGGAGGAACGCGTCTATCGACTTGCCGCCGTTAACGCGATAACAACGATACCAGGACTAAATAGTCTCCGAACACTTTCGACGGTATCCGCCGACGCCGAAATCGAATCGGCTCGGATAGTTGACTAACGGCATTCCTCGCCGGCATTTGTTGCTCCTACGTTGCGTATAATAGTAGGATAAGTGCGGGTATTACCGCGGGCGCCCCAAATACTGCGGTGTTTTATAAATTTAATCTCGTAAAAAACGAGATTACTTTTTACAAAAGTAACCTGGTAAAAAATGAGGTTAAATTATACATAAATAACCCTATAAAATAACCTTCTAAAAATGAAGCTCGTAATCTTTTATGTATTTAGTAAAAAATAAATTTTATTTCGCATAAAGATTCGCATTCCAGCGATAATTGTGCTACGTTTTGTTCATCAGAGTATTCGATCTTGAGTATTTTACATAACTATATTATTACATTATTTACTCATAATTTTTTATGTATTTAGTAAAAAATAGATTTTATTTTGAATAAAGATTCGCATAATTGTGCTACGATTTAGTTGCATTAGTTGCATTGGAGTATTTAATCTTGAATATTTTACATTACTTCTAAGATTAGAACAATTTGTCTTATTTTATTCTTGGAGTCACGGTTGCAAATGATCGGCAATATTTATACAGGCACGTGGAGTCGATCGTAAAAAATACATTTTCATCGAATGTGTTGCAGATTTTTATGCGGGTTCTCATTGTCATAAATACTTTCGCACATTCTGGAGCTTAAGAAACGTTTTATTCGCCAATTAATGCTGCAACTAAACTGCAACTCTAAATGCAAATAATTTTTTATCGATTCGTTACAACGACAAGATTTATTTAAACTTCGGTTTCTGTTATAATATATTGTCGACTAAAAAAGCTTATCTGGAACTTTCGAGCTCTAAATGCAACTAAATTTTTATCGATTCGTAACAACGACAAGATTTATTTAATCTTGGCATTTAAACTTCAGTTTCTATTATGACATATCGTCGACTGAAAAAGTTTATCTGGAACTGTCGAGCTCTAAATGCAACTAAATTTTTATCGATTCGTAACAACGACAAGATTTATTTAATCTTGGCATTTAAACTTCGGTTTCTGTTATGACATATCGTCGACCAAAAAGGTTTATCCAATTCGTAGAATCACATTTACGACACCAAGAATCGTTACATAAAAGATCGTCCAGAGCAGTCGTTTCGACCGATTCGGTAATTCCAGCGTGAAAAAGATCGGGCAAACGAAAAAGCATAAACGCTATCGAACAATGTCGAGCGCGGCGAAAGTAGATGCGCGGGTAAAAAGCGGCTGAGGTAAATCGCGGGAAATCGTGCGAGACAATCGCGGGAACAGCATGAAAACGGCTCGTTGCCGGGTGCCGGCAGGTGCGCGACTCCGTCTAAGCATTGAAAAACGGTGTACACGAAAGGTGTAGCAATTTGATCGGATTGGTACGTCTTCATCGGCCAGCGAGAGACGACTGGGAGCGGAGCGCGAAATTGATAATCGCGAGAGAGAGAGAGAGAGAGAGAGAGAGAGAGAGAGAGAGAGTGGATAATGGGAACGCATTTCAGACGAACGTGGGCCCCATTCTGGTCTGTATCAATCCTTATACGGACGTCGGGAATCCATTGACCTTAACGAGCACCAGGGCCGTACCACTGGCGCCCCAGCTGAACAAAGTCGTCCAGGAGGCTGTGCGCCAGCAGTCGGAGACCGGCTATCCGCAAGCGATCATTCTTTCCGGTAAGATCCGCGCGCGCGCGCGCTCATTTAGCGTTCTAATGGAGTCCCGCGGAGACGCGGATGATTGTATTCCGGTTGTTTTGTTCAGGGACGAGCGGCTCGGGGAAAACCTATGCCTCCATGCTGTTGCTGAGGCAGCTGTTCGACGTTGCCGGGGGTGGTCCCGAGACCGACGCCTTCAAACACTTGGCCGCCGCCTTCACCGTGCTCAGGTCCCTGGGCTCGGCGAAGACCGCCACCAACTCGGAGAGCTCTAGGATAGTATGTGAAACGATTTTATGGCCGGCGATCTCGCCTTTTCGCTCTTTAACCCATTTGCATCACATGGAAATATGAAAAAAGGCCTATATCACCGAATAATGTTTATTTTATATTTAGGTGTAAAATTGTATAAAAGTAAAAAGAAAATCATTTTTCAGTATTATCTGTTAGAAATTTTGTTCGGTGTGGTAATATTTGAAATGTGGGATGCATATAGGCACACTTCACGATCGCTATCGCTATCATCGCTATCGGATCTTATTTCTCTAATTCGTCTTCTTTTTAGCGGCATAATTTTTGTCTGCGCTACAATCAGAAAAACTGCTTTCAGATTCCAGAATTTCATTCGTTTCTATTTTTAAGGTTACGAATAAGTTTTAGCGACTAACAAATTTCAGTATGTGCACAGCACCGGCGATAGTGATTGCAGAGATAACAAAGAGAAGCGAAATAACAGATCATCGTTGCATCCAAGCGGTGTAACAGTTATCGGTATCGGCGCTTGTCTCTGTGATCTTATACTGTTAGGGAGTGTGTTATTTTGTTAATTAAATATTTCGATTCAATACCGAACGCAGCCGCGTATATACAGGGTGTCCCAAAAATGTATCGCGATCCGGAAATGGTGGATTCCTTAGGTTATTTGAAGTAACTTTTTCCTCAGCGAAAATGCAAAACGCGGCTTCGTTTACGAGTTATTAATGAAAAACGCCAACCAATAAGAAGCGAGCTCTGCTGACGCGTGGCGGTTGAGCCAACGAGCGCGCGAAGCCCAGTTCCGCTCATTGGCTCGGTCGCCTCGCGCCAGCCGAGCTCGCCTCTCATTGGTCACTGTTTTTCGTTAATAACTCGCTAATGGTGTCTCGGAGAAAATTTTTGTAAAGGAAAAAGTTGCTTCAAATGACCTGAGGAACTCGCCGCTTTCGGATTGCGAGACATTTTTGGGACACCCTGTATACGCTCCGGCGATAGTGACCAGGAAAATTGAGCGTATATATACGCTTACGATGCGAATGGGTTAAGATCGACGAAGGACCGGGTGATGATGACGCGCGTTCTCCTCAGGGTCACTTCATCGAGGTCCAAGTGACGGACGGCGCTTTGTACAGAACGAAGATCCATTGCTACTTTCTAGACCAGACGAGGGTCATCAGGCCTCTGCCCGACGAGAAGAACTATCATATTTTCTATCAGATGCTGGCCGGCCTGTCGAACGAGGAACGTGGTAAGAAGCCGACGAACTCGTTAGCTTTGCCGGATATGATCTTGAAGGCACTTTAGACGATCATGTTTCATATGGAATCGGCTCTGTTGACGAGGTTTTCCTTGGACGTTCTGGTAGCGTAGTTTATTCGGAAAATTCTTAGGGTGCCAAGGATCGTCTCTTTTGCATTCATATTTGATGTTAATCGTAGGAAATTGTTGGACTTATTAAGTTATTATTAGCTACTTCGTAGCATTGTGCGAGATAGAAATTGTCTGCAACTGTTGCAAGAAACAGGAGTTACTCAAGAATTTCTTAATTTAAATTTAAACGTTCTTATTCGTGATACTTTTGCCGAGTTGGAAATAACGTGTCGGATACACCTTAACCCTTTGCGCTCCGAAGCTTTCTCTGACATTTTCACCGATACGTGCCAATATATGTCACGCTAAATTATTAATACTGTAAGGTAATCGTGTATTATACAGAAATAGAAACACAAAATCTTGTATTTATTGATTCTT